CCTAGTTTATCTTTACTATAAGATGGCTTTCAAGCCTAAGATGGTTCTTCAGACCTGTTGTGTGCCAAGCACTACTCCTAAGTACCGGGTAGGTAACAGTAAAGAGAACAGATAAGGTTTTATGCCTTTTTACAGATTGTATGCTATTTTGGGAGGGGGAGTAGGAAATTAGCATGTAAGTTGCCTGCCTAGTGGGAAAGAGAGACGGGCAGTAAACAAATGGGTGCTAGTGTGCCCTGATATCTGCAGGGGGTTGGTTCCAGAACCCCTGTGTACCAAGATCTGATGCTCAAAGTTCCTCAGGCAAAATGGGCGTGATATTTGCATATAGCATAGTGCACCCTCTCACTTTTACATCAATTCTAGATCACCCAATACAATGTAAGTACATGTAAGTAGGTGCTAGGCCCTATGGTTTAAGGAGTCAGGGAAACCTGCAATATTCAATTGGCTGAGTCCAGGATATTGTCAGTATGCCTGACAACCTGAGTTTGATCCCAGAGCCCACATCATGTTGAAAAGAAAGAGGTGACTTCTGCAGGCTAGTGATATGGCAGTGGGCAGATTTCTTTTTCTCCTTCTCATCACTTTGCTGACCTCTGACCTTGCAGACCATGTTGGATGAGGAAGATGTGAAAGTCGCTGTGGATGTCTTGAAAGAGCTGGAAGCTTTAATGCCCAGTGCAGCAGGCCAAGAGAAACAGAAAGACACTGAGCACAGGTTTGTCCCTCATGTCCTTGTCCTGTTCATTTGCATATTTAGTGTACTGTGACAGTTGAAACGGAAGACCTGTTAAGCAAACCCTGGGGCAAGTGTAGTAACTGGCTGTGTACTAGATTGGGTTTTCATTGCTCCGTGCCAAAAAGGTGCTCAGAAGTAGAAATTGGAGCTAAGGACGCCAACTCTGTCTGTGGCCTGGTCATTCCTGGCCTGTGGGGATGTGGTGGTTATTGAGACTCCTGTCCAGGTCAGCAGTTAGAGGGTGCCTAGCTTACACATAGTGGCACTGTGCTGGGTGCTTGGAGGTGCAGAGGTGAAATTGGGTTGATTTATTTTTCAAACAGGTACTTGTTGATTTATTAGGGACAGGACAAAGAAGAAGAAGAGGAGTCGGAGCCGAGACAGAGACCGAGACCGGGACAGGGACCGAGACAAGGACCGAGAGCGAGATAGAGAACGAGACAGAGAACGAGATAGAGATAGAGACCATAAGCGGAGACACCGATCCCGCTCTCGGTCACATTCCAGGACCCGGGAGAGGACTAAGGGGAAGTCCAGATACCGGTCCAGGAGCAGAAGTCAAAGTCCCTTCAAAGACCGGAAAGACCGGGAGAAGTATGGCGAGAGGAATCTGGACAGATGGCGGGATAAGCATGTGGACCGCCCGCCCCCTGAAGAGCCTGCCATTGGGGACATTTACAATGGCAAAGTGACCAGCATCATGCAGTTTGGTTGCTTTGTGCAGCTGGAGGGCCTAAGGTACTCTCTCACATCAGTATTGCAAAACGTCTTTTACTGCTGAGGTAGGAGTGTGTGTTCATAGTCTCAGAAGCTGTGAACAGTTGCTCTCTAGTCATTCAGGTATACCAGGGCTCTTACAAAATTTTACTTTTGTTATTTTAAAAATTATATTTTGTTTTTGAGGTGGAGTCTGTCAGCCCTGGCTGTCCTAAAATTCTCTATAGACCAGTCTGGCCTTAAACTCACAGGGATCCTCCTGCCTCTGCCTCCCAATTGCTGGGATTAAAG